GGATGTTACCGAGCAATTGTTGGACAAACCGAATACTCAAATCGCTGAAAAAAAGAAAAGAAAGAGGAACATCAATGTCCAAGGAGCTTATCTTCACGTCCTTGGGGATTCCATCCAGAGCGTTGGCGTTATGATCGGAGGAGCTATCATTTGGTACAATCCGAAATGGAAAATAGTCGATCTGATTTGCACTCTAGTCTTTTCGGTTATTGTCTTGGGAACAACCATCAACATGATTCGAAGCATTCTAGAAGTATTGATGGAGAGTACACCCAGAGAGATTGACGCTACTAAACTCGAAAAGGGTTTGCTCGAAATGGAAGAAGTGGTTGCTGTTCATGAGCTTCACATTTGGGCTATCACAGTCGGAAAAGTTCTATTGGCTTGTCATGTCAATATCAGACCAGAAGCAGATGCAGATATGGTACTCAACAAGGTAATTGATTACATCCGCAGGGAGTATAACATCAGTCATGTTACGATACAAATCGAACGCTAAAAGCTAAGATTTGATGGGGTTTTTGTATCAAAAACATTCTCATTAACAATAAAATCAATAAAGTTTCTACCTTTTTTTTCACTTTCTCTTGTTCCTCTGCTTTAGGGGTATAGTTTATATGTCATCATCGTTTGGTTGTGCTCAAGTAAGCACTATTCCTCTTCAAGGAAGAAACTTTTTGTACTTGTTTCAAAAAGTTTTTCAAAGGACAAAACTGCTTAGAAGAGATATGTCATTTTAACTTTCTGAGATTAGGTCTGGTTTCATTTAGATTCATCATCTTCCTAGGAGGAGTCACAGGTCTTGTGATTGTGTTTAGAAACAGAACCTGATTGATTCTTAAAGGACTTCAATTGATATGTTACAACTCACAAGTGGGTCATGTTTGTCCTGAGAGTAAGTAACAAAGAGCTTTTAAGTTATTACATCAGTAAGTATACACAAGAGATGAAATCTCCAAAACCTAGTTTATTGATAAAGTTTGAATCTTTTTACCACTTGTGTAAGCCAATTTGGTTTCTTAGTACAGTAGTATGAATGAGATCTTGAGAATGCAGACAAATCTAGTCGTGTTTCTGGGTAATTTGTGTTGGAGAGAAACTTGTTTTTGGCTGTGTTAGACTGGTACATGTGAGATAAACAGGGACATGGATAAGGTTTCTTCTTTGTTAGCTTCTATGATCGAATCTGTGTTCTTGTTTGTCCTCAAAGATCGAAGGAGTCCTGTAAATATTGCAGAGAAGACAGGGACAAAAAGGTAAATTTACACTCTTGATGAAAAATGAAGAAAGATAAACACTGGTTAGTACCCTTAAAGACAAGGCATTGACACTTGTATGATTTAAGCCAAAACTCACGGGTTAACTAAATAGATCATGAGGTGATACATGAACACTGATTTCTTCTTCAATTGGGTTTCAATAAAAATCGAAGCTTTTTAAGAAACCAATCAATGGAAGCTC